CTGTTAACGTGGACTCAACTATACATACAACGAACAGGAGAGCCAGGTAGATCCTGATGCGGAGAGCTCCTTCTGGGTTGTAATGGGAAATGAAATGAATGAATGAGCATAAGCACTTTTTTGTTTGTTTCTGTGCTTGTTTGTCTGTGGTGGCTTCCTTCGTGAATGTGAATGTGTATGTGTGCTTTCTGGGACTGTGTGTGTGTTTGTGGCCGCAGACTCAGACGGCAGAACAGAAATGATGCACTTCAAATTAAAATGCGAATGCAAGCGAAAACTTCAAAAGAAGCACTAGAACAGAAAACAGAAGCGCAAACGAGATACTAATAGACAATGCCAAATGCTAGGAATCTCTTTCTAACTCGCTATCTATGTGTTTTTGTGCGTTAGTCATCCGAAAGGGGGCGCTGGTCCTTGGTAGGCGTGGTCGTTTCATTGAATTGAAGGACCTACCATAAACACACTAACACACTGTCCCAGCGAAAGTGTCGCTGGCTAAGTATTTGTGCGCAAGAGTGTGTTAGTGCAGCCAGCGAAGGATAAAGTTAGCGACGATGACGAAGCAGGACCTACAAATGCACTTTGCATCTAGGGTGAACCCGTATTTTTGAAAAAAAAATTAAATTCACGTATACGTGATTTGCAAACGAAGTTCCCGTTCACTTTTGCCAATACTCACAACCACTTTTAAAAACTATGAAATAGTGTACCAAGTAATTTAGCATAAAGCCGGATTACTATGTTTAAATTATGGATATTTTCACCTATCAAAAAGTATAATCTATTAAGATAAATTTCATGTAAGATTTGGGATTTAGAAACTATACCTAGTGCTTGTAAAAGTCTATTATGGAAAATTACTTATCACAAAGGACAAGGAAAAACCTCTCACATATTTGCCATTTTGCAAAACGTTTTCGAACAACTTTAGCCTGATTGTGGGCCATCATGGCAATCGTTCAAAATCACTCCGATTCCAAGCCACAATTCAATTTGATTCGCCTCGCTCCGTTTCGATTCAATGCGATTCAATTCGCTTCGATCCAATCACGTTTTCGGGCACGAACGAGGTCACGCGCCCATCACTAATACAAATGCACTTTGGACGTGGCCGACGCGCGCTAAATTCGCCTTAATTCACTTTTCATACAAAACAGCAGTAGCACAAAAGCACGCCCCACACGCACACACCCCCATCCACCCACACACACACACACTCGCACACAGGACACTAGTTGGTGGGGATGCACCCACACAGAGGCATGCAGAAACACAAACACCAGCGCACACAGAAGCAAATGCATGTTTGTTGTAATTAATTTAAAATATTATTACAAGAGCGCGCGCGAACGCTAAACTAAAGAAGGAAACAGAAATAGGAGCCGAGGTGGCAGCCGGGAAAAGGATGGGTGGGGTGAAAGGGGACTGACGAGGGGTGAAAAAGGAGCGGAAAGAGGAGCAGACAGTGACAAGGCAACGTTAAATAATTATAGCCCAAGCGAACTGCAAACAGAAGGCAAACAAACACAGTGACAGTAAACAGCATGTGAAGTGAACGAGAGGGATGTGGCTAAACAACCGAATGCTGCTTTCTCTTTGCAAAACTAAAAATCCCCCACCCCCTAACACCCCAACCCCCTGACTTTTAGCCAACTTTATTTTTAATTGACGCGACAACAAGCAGGAACAGCAAATCACAAGCTGCATCCCAAAGAATGGGTTATAAGGGGAGAGTCCTCCAAAATTCCAGCCAAAAATACCAACCAAAAACGAAATTAAAGTAGTTCGAAAAAAGAAAGTAAGAAAGTAATAAACGTAAAGCTATTACAAAATCTGATAATGGTCTGAGGGCAATGGCAATGAGGCAGACAAATAAACGCATGCCGGCTAACACACACAAACGAAAGGTTATTAAAAAGAGAACCCGAGAGCTAAGGAGAGGCAAAGAGAGAGCGGAACAACTGGTTGTGGAACACTGCACTAACAAAAAAAATTCATTTATATTTAATTGATTGTCATTTTTGGAAATAATTTCTTATTATATGAATGATTATAAAACATAAATTCTATCCTAGAAACATAAATCATAATTTTTTTAAGGATTATAAATTTATTTGACATGTTTTATAAGACGAAAGCAAATATTTCATGACGTCTCTTAGGATAATAACATTTTGGTCTCGAAATGTTTATAGTCATAAATAGTTGCAAAGCTTACTTGCTTTAAAATTAAATTTACCAATAAAACATTGTCAAAAGTCAAGCGATCATTAGTTAATAAACATTTTCTCTGTGTATAATAATGCAAGGCTTTGAAAGAGTAACAAAGTGCAGAGCGGCCATAAAAATCGTAACAATATGCCCTGCCACAGCAGCAACATCGGCTGCACAGCGGCAACATCTACAGCAACAGCAACAGCAGCAGCAACATCCACGGCACAGCAGCAGCATATAAGCGGCAACAACAGCAACAACAGCGCCAGGAGCAACATAAACATTGAGGCGCGCGTGCTGCGACGGTTGCCGCAATATTAATTTCACGAATGAACAACCCTTGAATAAGCATGCACTTCATGTACCGTTATTATGGTCCGGCTACGTGAGAGGACTCGTATTGTATCTCTCTCTTCCGAGAGAGAGACAGCCGAAATTAGACGAGAGAGCCACCAAATTTCTCTGAAAGCTTTCGTCCTTTCGTTTAACTTCGTTTAATCAGCCGAAGTTCACAAGTGTGCGTGTTGGAGTTTTTGTGCTTGTGTGTTTGAGGCAAGTTGCTTTTTCATTGTGCATTTCCCAGAGGTGCATTTTTCTGAAAATCTAATTTGAGAGATTGAGATTGTTTGGTCTTTCAATGTTCAGCTGGCTCGTTCGTGTTGCGACGCTTGCAATTTCTTCCCAGCCAGTCCCTATATAGGATATATGTTTGTTCGTTTGTATATATGTGGCCATATATTTATGCAGCAGCAGGAGCAGCTTATCGGGGAGTTATGGTCTCGTCTAAAGAAATACTCCAAGTCACAGTCACACGCTCACTTTAATTGGTACAGCGCGCCGCAACGCTGTGGCAATTGCTGTTGAAAAATCTACATGGGAGATTTGGTAGCAACAACAGTGCTGGCAGCAGTCGCAATAGTAACATCAGCAGCAGCAGCAGCAGCAGCAGCAACACCAGCAGCAGCAGCAGTGGAATCCGCATGGCAGAGACTTCAATCATTGTGAGCCACGCTCGCTGCGGTTTGACAAACATTTTTCACAGAATGTGCGAAGGAAACCGCCAAGCTTTTTGACACCCAACTCCCTTTTTAATGGCACACCGCCACAAAAATTAAGGTTTTAAGTGGTATCTCCACCGTAATTAGAGTTTAAAACTAGAGATCACATTTAGCATCTTCTGATGTTTCAGGTTAATTGCTAACATGATTTTCTATGGTCATACTTAGTTTAAAAAATGGAATATAAATATAAGTATTTTGGAATATCCTTCTTTATTTAAAAATGTCATATAAATAAGTTTTTAAAATAAATTTGAAGGGCAATTGTAAAGCACTTATAAAAGTGCCAAAAAGTAGGCTATAATTTTATATAGGCTAAGAAATTAATTTAGACACCATGAAAACTAAAAATTTGCTGAGGTGTAAAGGAGTTAGATATAATAGTAAGGATAACAAAAAAAAGCATTACATCTTTGCAACTACTGCAATTTTAATTTTGCATACGAGTGTTACAAATGTTAAATGTATTTTTAAATAAAATTTGTTCAGTGCATGCCAACAGAGTTTCCACTTCTTTGGCCTTTGCCCGTCCCTTACTTATTCGTGTATGTTTGATGAGTATGCGAGAGTTTTATGGCTGTATTGGGAATGAGCTGTGAGCAGCAGCAGAAAGCCGTCGCAGGGAAAGGGAAGCCGATCCTGAATTGGGGAGCAGGAGCATCAGGATGAGGAGGAAAAACAGGCGTCAGGCTTTGGTTTTGGCTTTGGCTTCCTGTTGGCGCCTTTTTACGGGGACTGTGGGGGCTGATTGGGTTATACTGTGATTTTAATTTTGAAATCATACGAATGCGAATGCTGGAATGCAAAGCGATACGATACATGTGCGGATTTATTTATGCACGTATACATCACAACAAAAAAAGTACGCAAAAATGTGTTTGTATACGAGCGTAAAGCGATAAAGCGCCTTACTGGATTTTGCATCGGACTGCTGCTGTTCGCAATTTGATAAGCTACCTCTAGGAATTATTTTTACGACTTTTTTTCACACAAACACGCCTGGAAATATGCAATAAAATATTCCGATTTTAAGCTGGTGTGTAAATCAAACGAATCTTATTGTTTTCAATTTGTGCTCATTCCCATTTCCCGCCGACTTCCTTTTGGTTTTTACCATCAAAGACTCAATCACGGCTTAGACATCCAGTCAATTGAGAAGCTCGTCGACACTTGATCCCATAGAAATCGGAGACAAAGGACTCATAAGTATACCTCAATCGAGTGCAGTTAAAGATTACTGTTGAGCGAAACCTGCCAGGAAACCAACAAACACATTTATTTAAAAGTCAGGCCACATTTATTACGCATACGCACTGTTGAACAATTTAAGCACTCATTTAAAACGAGCTTTCGTATTCAACGCTGGCAACAGTAAACTGAATTTAAAGATATTTTTTCTAACAGCTTTAAAAAAGTTGTTGGATTTAGTTTGTTTTCTTTTGCCTAGAATGCTTACAATTTTTTTAAACTCGTAGATTTGTTCAAGCAATTGACATACATTTCTTTTAGTATAAATTCCAATGATTTAATTCTGAAAAACACGCATCTTTTTTGTGAACGTCCCCAAAATAAATAAAAATTAAAATAAATGTGTTTAAATTGTGAGTTTTTAATTAGAACGAACTATTTTAAAATGGAATTTTTACAGTTTCTTGGTTGTCCCATAAAAATAACTTCAACATTTCAGTGCTGTGTAAATTTAATATAAAGGAAGAAAACCGGTAAATGTTTCCCAAACAAAATCTGAAGCAGTTTTTATTGTACTCATATTCAATCATCTAAATCCACATTGCGCCATCAACTTTATCAAATTTACATTAAGGGACGTACAAACTAAGCTATACAAGATTCGGATAAAGCGTTTCAAACATATGACTTTGGGCATATGGATATGGTACAAACATACAAACGATATATACGATACATACTACTAACTATAACTAAAAACTAATGCGGAAACGGAAATGTTAGAGTTTTCGCCAAAAGATTGAGGAGTAAAAGATATGCCCTAGAACGAATGCGAAAGATAGATTAATAGGGTCCTATAAGAAGAGCTTTACAAGGGCAAAAAGCGCCCAAGCAGCTAGCGAATAGAAAACAGCCAGTGTCGTATAGTGCAGAACCTTCAATCTGAAAGAGTGATTTTAGAAAAAATTAATATAGAAAGAGTTTGGGGAATGTAAACACGCACCTTTCGTAGCGCTTGATGGACTCTGGAATATTACTGGGATCATCCTTGACTACATACAGTCGCAGTCCGTAGAGGCTGACGCGGAAAAGATTGGTCCAGTCCAGATCGCGCATATCGAAGGAGAAGATCCGCTTATCTCGATCATCGAGCTTTTCCGTAAGTTTTCTGACATTGTCGTTATCAAAGCGAAACTCGTTCGAACTGAAGTACTTGAGGACATTGCTTAGTTTGTGGATCTTGCGATAGATCTTCATCATTCTGGGGGTGATTTAAAAAATGTTATAAAGGTGCCCATAGATTAAATGAACTAGAGGCCCACCTCGGCTTCTTGCCAATTATCACCATGATGGCGTCCATGACCAGGGCGGGCAATGTGTGGTACAGGAAGCACAGAATGTGGTACTGCCACATGTGCGGCACAATGGTGAAGCGCGGATACCAGATTGATTTCCGCATCGGTATGTCACAGCCGTACTCAAAGCCATCCTCCATGTAACGCCTCCAGGTGACCATGTTCTCCGCATCCGGTACATAGTTGTAAATCGGAGGCGTCTCGTATCTACAGTGAAATATTTTTATAACAATTAAATTATTGTGTTATTATATCTCACTTGTTCCGCGCTATATCCCAGGCACTGGCCAAGAGTGCATTCACACACATGTCCACCGGTACGATGTGTGCCTTATTGTCCATATCGCCCGTAAACACGCGGAGAACTCCGGATCCAATGCCCACGATGACTCCACAGGGACCGTACATGTTGTCGATCCAGCCAGTCACCGGTTCGCGGTACGTGGTGATCACTGTAATATACAAATCGATGGTTAATTTATATTAATGACATTAAAATAAAAACCGGTTGTCAAGCCAGCCTAAATATATACTGCAGCTGAAGTGTCTATGAAGCACTTAAAGCGTAAATTGCATAATGACTAACTTTATTACAAAGCGATGATTTGGTAAACTAATATTCTAGCCAACAAAACAAATCGTATTGCAGCTCAAAAAAAGGGCGGAGCCAAACAATACAATTTAATTAATGATTGATGGTTTTCAATACGTACATAACTCAAACCATTATAGGTAATAAATGCTTTCATAGCTATGAATAATTTAATATTAATTACTTAACTTTGACAGTTTTACATGGTTTATATTTTTGCAGCTGAAAGCTCAAACTCAAGGCTAACTTAAAGATTCAACTCACCAATGCCCGGTCTAAAGATAGTGACTGGCATGTTTTGTGCGCTCTGTTGCACTACGTTTTCGGCCAGGACTTTGGTGAAGGTGTATGTGTTCGGATACCCCTTAATGATGGTCGGCGTCAGGATGTTAAGCGTGTGCTCATCGAGGCACTCACTCAGCTTAAAGGCATTCTCGGCGGACATTGTGCCGCTGTAGAACTTCTCCTGGATGTGACGCAAGTTGCAGTGCGCAAATGCTGTGGAGACATGAACCAAAGCCTAAAAAGATTCGGAGGCAGGAAGCAATCAAAAATTAATTTCTGTATTCTTTGGTTACTTTAAGGGAAACTCATGTCTTCTTATTAATGCAAATATATATAAAGCTGTTTGCAACACTTTTAAAACAAAGTATATAAACAGCCTATTTGTTTCCAATTTCTCAATTTCATGTTTGGGTTCCCGTTTGTTCTCTGTGAGAGAACATGTTTTTAGGTAAGTAAATGATTCCGAAACAGCAATTTAACATAATTTCAAAACCTGACATTAAAATCGAGCCCAAATGTTTCCAAAAACATCAATAGAACTAAATGTTAATATGTGACTGCGTAACCGGCCCATACTTCTAAGATTTCTTGGTGAAATAAGAACTAAAGACATGTCTACAAATCTTTGTACCTTCAGATTAACAATCTCTTTGGCCAGCTTAATGATTTCCTTTGTGCCATGCACGTTAATGGCAATGGCCATTTTGAGTTTCTCATCGAAACGCACGGTGGCCGCACTGTGAAGGACGATATTGACATTTTCCAGGATCGTCTCGCGCTCATCGGGAGTGATTCCCAGTCCGGGTAGAGAACAATCGCCACTGATGATGGTGATCTGACAGCGGTACTTGGGGTTCACCTGTTTCATCTTGGCAAAGACCTGGCCAACGAAAAAATTCATTTAGGACTAATAAATATAATTAAACGGCTTATGTCACTTACCGGATCATTGAACAGATCCTCGATTCGGGCGAAGGCATCCTTGCCCTTCTTGGTGCGTATCAGCAAATAGATTTGTCCCACCTCCGTGACGCGCAACAATTTCTCGATGATAACTGGAGGCACGAGACGAAATGAGACGGGGTAAATAAGTGTGCGGAATTCCAGTCACGTACTGCGACCGGAGTTGAACTTACTTTTGCCAAAGAACCCAGTGCCGCCAGTGAGGAAGACACCCTTGTCCTTGTAGAACATTTGCATGGGCGACTCGTCTGGGGAAGAGATCAATGCAAACAGTCATTAAACAATTAGCCAATTTGATGCGCATCATTGGGGGCTCAGTAGGCACTACACCCCAACCCAAACCCACACCCAAACCATCTGTTTGCTCGTTTCGCTTCGGTTCGGTTTGTTTGCCACCAACTTGAAGCCCCGTCACGAATTTAAATGCGCATCAAATGCCACTTGAATTGCGCATAATTCACGCCACACACAGATACTCCGGCACCCATACAATCGCAGCCAGAGCGACAGACCCACAGACACTCGGCATAGTTGGGAGGGCACGAGGTTGGCTTTGGCTCCTGACTGCATTTTTGCCAAAGTGCCAAAACGGCAACAACACTTGACGTTTCAACGCCGCCTGCCAATGGCTCTGCTCTACCCTCCCACAAATGTCCACCCACCGCCCAAGAGGGGGTTCCCTTCCCCCGCAGGCCATCCATCTCTGCCCACATTGTTGTTTGCGGCATCGGTTGCCGTTGCCTGCCACTTGCTGGGCCACTCATAAATATTTGCAAGTTAGCAGCTCGTCGAGCCATTCATCTATTGTCTAAAACGCACACACGCCTGAAATACCCGCACACGCACAGTTGCATATGTTACACGTGTATTTTCAGCTGAACTGAGAGAAAAACTTGTAGATTCTAAAACCAATTCGTTGTTTTTTGACACTTTTTACTGTAAGTCATACAGTCATATGTTATTATTTTAAGATTTATAATTCTTACCAAATAATTCGTTCATATTAAGAAAATCCTTCACTTAGTTGTTTTAACTTTGTAACTACAAATATATTTAAAATCTTATCTAGTTTTTCTATATGCCTATAGCAGCTGATAAAAATGTTGTTTAATCTATTGTAAATTTGTCATACTTATCAACAATATAAGGTTGATTTTGCATTTTACTGCAAGTAAGACCCTTAAACTTTTTAACTACTACTTTGTAACTTATAAAATTATCGAAGTATTCAATAAGGTATAACAAATATTCCATTCAACTATTTGTGAGCAGCAAACAATTAAAGTAAATATTAATTTACAACAAAAAAATATTTTAATAAGGGCTTTAGACTTTATTCTAAATATTTGTTAAAATTTCAAAATCAGCAAGTTACTTCACATTTTTTCAGTGTCCAGCTCTCTGCATTCCTAAATTGAATGGCATTTCGTCTTGAGATGACCCACTTCGCCTCAGCCTTCGACTCAAGCCGCCTAATTGCCAATCGTCGGCGTAAATCACTGTCAGTTGGGAAAACAAGGACTCAAACACACAGCGATGTATTCAAGTCTACACCCATGCACAATTGCCACTTGATAATTGCATAATAAATGCAACATTGCCAAGGAGGATGTGCCGCCGGCCCTTCATCCGCTCCCGGCTGAGACATAACAAACACATTCATACAAATACAACTTGACACCTAGAGCTGACACCGGCAACGGCGACGGCAACAGCTCCCGTCCAATGGCAAGCCACGGGAATGCCACCACCCCTTCTACCTCCTCTACCACCCCCTCCTCCTTGGTGGAAATTCCCTGGCCCGAGGCCGCACTCAACCACAAGCACTTGGCTGGCTCACTCAAATGTTTTGTTTACCTATGCTAATTGGCTTAAATGCAACTCAAGCGCACTTTGCATCGCCTCGCGCCCGCCCAAAAACCTTAAACTGAAAATGTGTAAGGCATGGCATGGCAAAGCCCACCCAAACACCCAACCATCCAAACACCCAACCATCCAAACACCCAACCATCCAAAAACCCCAAACCCCCCAGAAAGACAGCAGCACTGAACCAACCAGGCCATCATTGTTCCGTGGACGCAGCGAAATTGAGCCTCACTTGGAGTGACTCGAGTGGGAGTTGGAGTGCGGCGTTTAAAGCTTTTCGAGCGCTTTGGGGCATTTGTTCAACGCTAACTCCAACACCAAAAGCTGAAGCCAAAGCCCCCTTTTCATACCCCCCACCACCACCAACATCACCTCGAAAAACAACAACAGGGGTCCCCACTTTGAGTGAATTGTCAACAATCGTTGTTGGCTCTTCGGATTCTGTGGGCGGCAGACAAAAGTCTGTCACATAATTTGTCAATTTCCACAAATTTTTGTTTCAAAACACACACACACACCCAATGTTCCCTTAGGCATCACCGCTAATGTAATATTTCACATAAATGCCTTTTATTTTTCCTGGTTTGTGGCCGGGGTTTTTTCGTTGTTCGGTACTTGATCTTGGGTCGGTTTTGTTGTTTGCATTATTTAAAATAATATTTTCGACCGGTCACTCACCCTTCACGTCATTTATGAGCTGACAATGATCTTCCAGCGTTTTCATGCCATTCATGATGTTCATTATTTTGGGATCATCCATCTTGGTCAGGTAAATGTTTTATAATTATCTGAAGGAAGACAAAAAATACGAAACAAATTAGAACATAACAGGGAATTTAAGTTAAATAATATATTTTAATTAGAGAAGATAATTTTAAGGCGGTTAAACACATTAAGCCCTAGGCCATTTTTAAATACCAAATAATTTTACCAAATTTTCAACTGCATAAAATAAGCTTACTAATCACTTGTTAAAACGTAAACCGCTTAAGCGCCTGAGTACCCCACTTGAAACCAAAATTTATAGTGAAAAGAATTGCAATTCCATTCCCTTTCAGCGACACAGATAATCCCTTAATTGAATATCTGGACACCCATTCAGCTCACCGCCCCAGCAGAAGTTTTGGGAAATTATTCCTTTAATTCGAGCTAGATGAATGCGAAGCGAAAACCATAAAGCCAATTACAACAGCCCCAAAGCGGTAGCCATGCGACTGTTTCTTGGCTACTAAAAATCAAATATATATAAGTAAATTTCGCTTCAGTAAAGTACGAAATTTAATTAAAACTTTGTTCCTTTCTGGTAGACCAGAGAAAGCGGGAAAGGGATAGAGTCAGAGAGGGATGGAGATGGAGAAAAAGAGTGGAGCGCTTCAGTGAAATTTCTAATGAAGTGCCAGACGCACCTGTTGACACAGAAAACAAAAATTAAGGCAAAAATGATACCAAACTCTAAATGAGAGTCAAACTGGAATCAAATTTAGTAAAACTCAAAGCGACTGAAGCACAGGATGAGGTTAATGAAACTATGCACAAACAATACCAAATGAATAGCAGAATTTTTGAACTTGTTTTATTTACAGCGAAATGAGCAATATATGCATATTTCGAAGCGTGCTCACTATATTATTATAAACTCGTTTTCGGCAAAGGTATTTCAAAGTGCAGGCGCAAGTTACTTAAACTCATATATTTCAATTTGACTTTAAGGTCCAATGTCAGTCAACGGCAGTTCGATGACTGCTCAAATGCGCACATACTCAAATCATCGGTTATTATCACATACTTATAAAGATAATAACAGACTGCGCAGCATTAATCAAGGCTCCAATCAATTGAATAAAGTTCTCCAAAAAGCAAGACTGAGGCCAAAATCCGGGTCAGATCCCGAGCAAAAATGACAATGTAATCAAAGCTCAGGGGGCATTGTTCCACAGTGCCATATCTCCAGCCAACAATTAAGCCTTTCAATTCAAATCCCAACCGGTATTTAAAACCAGGAATCGGTGGCCATTATTAACTTGCCTTTATATCTCCAATTTATTGGTACAATTTTGGGCGTAAACAAGCCAAGTAAATTAGCTACGTAACCAGGTGACTGGGTGTGATCATTGAACAAAAGTCGCCTTACGCCTTAAGGGAATAAAATAACAACAGTATTTAGAACAATTACTAAATAAATTCGGTCAGTATTTATCTTGATTTGGTTAATACATGTTCGTCGTTCTCACTTTTTCGGTATAAAATTAACAATATTAAGTTAATTCTTTAATTTGTTCCTTAAACCTTTTTATTTTGTTGTTAGAATTAGAATTTGGCCGGATGAGGATACAATATTTTTGATTTAAAAAAAATGAAATAAAATTAATTCAATAAATCAGACCGATTTCTGCGTATTTTTATGGGTCATAAACAATACAAGAAAACAAATAATGACACAACAAACGGAAGGTAAAGAGTACAGAACACATCTCGTCCTCGATATGAAAATGAAAAATTAAACAATTCCGTGCGAGTCAAAGTCTTGCTCAATTAACCTATATTTGCCGTATTCGCAACTTGAAACCGAGCTCCATTACTCATTCCTCATTTTCCGTTTTCCATTCCCATGCAGTTTCTGGTGCCGCGGGGCGTTGCATTTCACACCAATTGAGGAGCTTTTACACCACTCGCGCTTGGCTCGGCGCTCACTCAGTCGGATGAGTGACGAAAGCAACACAGTGCAATCTAATGACAGAAAGCGGGGATTCCCCGGGGGCAGGCAGGCAGTCAGGCAGGCAGTCAGGGACACTTAGTTAGCTAGGGCAGTCTGCCAGCTCAGTCCAACTGACTGGATACCACCGACCACCCGTCCCCCCTCTCCGAAAATCCCCGACCAGCTAGCTAGCTAACAGGCAGTGCGGCCAAAAAGCCACTGCAGCTGATTGCACCACGCTGGCGACCGCAGAGCCACCGATGCCAGCGAAGAGCGTCCTCCATCCACCCAACCAGCCATCCATCCATCCATCCATCCGTCCGTTTGGAAAGCTTCGAAAGGTACTCGTTCGGTACGCACTGAATGAACTTCCGAGGGAGAAAGGAACAGGGGCAGGGGTTCGACTTTGTAGACGAATTTATACATTGTTTAAGTATCAGCCGCAGATACTTCCCCACCGCCGCACCGGGTTTTCCCCGCTGCCCACTCAGTTGTCGACACCGAAACTCCATCGCCAATGCACATCGAAGCGCAGCTAATTGAAACAGTTCTGCACAGTGGGTTGAAAATGGAAAGAAAAAAAGCTAAATATTAATCCATCTAATTGGATTTTACTTAAAGCTAACTTAGGTTTTAGATAGTTATAATTTTAAAATATATTTAGCCCTTTCTCTTTTTTGATTTTTTACACTTTCAATAACGACAAGCCATATCCTGCTTTACATCTATAATGGAATTTGATTGGTATCTTGCAGATATGCATCACGACTATATTAAGGATTAAGTAAAATTAATTTTTAGTCCTGTAAGTTCAAGGTATATATTTCCACAAAAAAATTAAGTTTAATTATTAACTAATAATATTTTAGTTGTATGTTTATCTAACATCAGCACATAAATACTTTTTTTTAGCGAAACAATTAATTAATACTAAATATTTAAATTATAATTGATATATTTTAATACATACCTAATTCTCTGAATAATGAGAGCAAAATAGCTCTTAAATAATTTTCGCTTTTTAAGCGGCTGTATCGTTTTAACAATTTTGCCGTACAAGAACAAAAAAAGGACCACTTTTTGTTATGAAAATAAGTTTGTGTGCAAAGCTTTTTGCCCAGACATGCAACCACTGTTTTACTCGATCTGGTGTTGCCGCTTCTGGTACTTCTTTTACTTTTGGCGTTTGTTTGCGTGCGGTGCACCATACTGCCTGCAGTAGTTGTTGGGCGGCCTGCTGCTGCCGCTGCCGCTACTCCGCCAGTAACAACAACACAAAAAACTTTTCGGCTAACAATGGGCTGAAAAACAAAAGTATGAACCACAATAATAACAACTGCATCAGGGGGCAGGCACAGGGACGGGGGGCAGGGGCAGAATCAGCACTGTTAGCAATGCAACAACATAGCACCACTGGCAGTGGCAGCAACAAAGAGAAGAACGCGGCCAACAGCAAACAAAAAATCAGCGACTGCACCACTTCGCTTATTTCCATGAATTTCTGTACTCGCCATGAACCCCATCCCACGTACAACGCCCCACCCACGAAAGGGAATCGAAAATTACATCACAGCCCCTTTTTCCGCATTCCCATTACCTTTGCCTCTTCTCGAACACTTTTGACGAGACTCATTCGCCTTTGAATTTTATTTAATGCTTTTGTAATAAAGTGTAAAATGGTGGAAAAGTGCAAACAACGGCCACCAAGAGCGAGAAATGCAAAGAGGAAAACGGAATCATCATCATCATCAACAGGAGGAGCAGGTCCTGGAACTGGTTGGTTGGTGGGCGGAATAAGTAAGAACTGCGGCCAACACCAGTGGCCACATTAAAAGAAGAAGAAATAATTAACAGCAACAGTTTGAAAGTCCATAAAATGGAAATGGCCGAGCAATGGCATCGACTCGCCCACGACCCACCATCTACCATCTACGAGTCACTCCTCTCCATCCAGTAGCGCCTCATTGGCATCGCCATTACCAGTGGTGGTGGTGCAGAAGCCATCGCCATTGCAACCGCCACGACCACCGCATGTGCCATACAACTTCCGACTTCCGGTGGCTTTGGCCAGTCTGAGAGTCTGGGAGTCTGACTGGGTCCGGACTATACAGCTATATACTCGTACTTGTACTCGTAGGTACTCATATATATATCCGTAGTGCTGCACCAGCCATACCCTTTTTGGGCAAAGTGGCCATGACTGTGCAATCGATTTGGTTGCATCTCCACGTGTTTACTGTCTTACCCGTTGACAATGCAAATAATTTGGTGAGCAAAAACAAACGATTTTGCTTATATAAAATTACTTAGAGCGCTGATTATATCACGTAACATGTTCAATCACTTTGCGTTGCACTTCAAGACCGAATCAAAAAGTATTCGCACTAAATTCCTCTTGATTGACTAACATTACTATCCCTCAAATACTTAAAACCAATTTTTATTATGAGGAAAAACTGTTTTATAATACAATAGTTTTAAGAAACACTTTTTATAATTTCAGCATTTTCAAAAAATAATCTGTAGATTCTTAAGAATATGTTTTGGTTTGGCTTATTTTTATTTTTACTAAAATCAAATCTTGATATCATTCAAAATATGATTTATGTCTTAAAACAGGAAAATTAATAGTTACGAAATTTTTTAACTCATTTTATTTTGATTTTAAAAATATTCCCCATAGGGTATGGCACATTCATGGCAAATTACTCCCTTGACTTTACCGATTTCATTCCTTGCTATTTGTTAATACCGCTGTTGCTGTGCGTCTGTTGTTGTTGCTTTTGCTGTTGTCACTGGGTTGACACACAAGCAAAGAGTCGGTGCGAAAAATGTTCGTTAAATCTATTAAAAGATAATTACGTGAAGACAAATGGACGGCCGACCGGAGCACCACGGGGTGTCCGGGTGGGTATCCTTGTGCCGGGCATGGCCTTCCTATCCGGTGTCCGTATCGGTGGTGGCCGTGTCCGTATAGTTGTCCGAGTACGGGTCCGGGTCCGGGTGCTGCGACCAGCACCGTACATCCATACATATGTACGCTATTATTATTCGAGTTCGTTGATACGATAACGCTAATGGATATGGATATTG